CCAATCACATCATATGCAGTCAAGCCTGCTGTAAGTGGTGTGCACAAAACAGCTGTTTGCTGGCTTGGCCCTGCTGCAGTTACCGAGGAGAAAAGCCTCTCCAAAATTAGGCTCAAAGCCTCTTCATAACCTAATTATCTAAACAAGTTATACCCAGGCCGTGTGTAAGAGTGAGGCAAATTTGTTCCTATGCCTCCTAATTTTCCTCTTAAACAGCTGACTCCATGTGCAGCTGAGCACATGGTATCAATATGGCATTGGGAGCTCCTGCCATAAGAGTGAGTGTTCCCTTGGGTCATGTTTAAGATGTTTGGATGTCTTCAAGTTTCTGGAGGGGAGTTGGGTGGAGATGTGAAACAGGTTCCTTTGTGAAGAGAAGAGGGGAAAGATATCCAAGGTGCAGAGGGAGAAGAAAGTATAGGAGTGGATTTGGTAGGAGATGAAGGGGAACATTTAGGTTGCCAGGTGCAGCAGATAGAGTGAGGAAGGAGGGTTGGCATTGGAAAAGTGGTGGAGATTGGAATAGAAAGATTTGAGTAGGGGAGAGAGGAGTAGAGTTAGGATGGTTCAGGTAGAGGGAAGAGATACTGGGGGATATGCAGAGACATCTTAGAAGATGTGAGGGGAGCAGAGTACTTAAGGACTGTTTTGGGGAATAGGTAGAGANATAATAATAACAATAATAATAATTCAAAAAAGGGCCTCAAAAGCCTTCATTCACAGCAGCATAATAACCGCCCACGAGAGGAAAAAGGCCGCATTCCTACCGAAAAGGAGCGAACGAGGCCGATAAGGAGCGCGGTCTCTGCTGCCTCTTATCTGCGCCCCAAAATCAGGGCCATCTTGGGCGTATTCTCGAAACGAGTTCCATTTCTGGCAACTGCCCACGGAGACTCCCCACTCCGCCATGTTATTCTGGCCGGAGACAACTTTTCATTCCCGTTCTCTTGCCTGTTTATTGAATCCATTTTCTATGAAGGAGATGTGAGGGAGGGCTATTATATTTGAGAGCGGATGTGGATTTTTTTTTTTTTTTTTTTTTTTTTGAGGGGGGGGATTGTTTGGGGGTCGTATCTATCTTTTTTGTTATATGCGCGCATAGTTGTTCACACATACATGCAGACACACACATATATATATACAAATATATATATATATATATAATAATTATATATAATAATATATATATATATATATATATATATTATATATTATATATGCATGTATGTATGTATATATATATAGAAACATTCTTTTATATATATGTATATATATATATATATATACTATATATATATATATATATATATATTATATATATATTATATATATATATAATATATATATATATTATATGTGTATGTATATATTATATACTAATATAATATATACATATAATATTATATTATTATATATTATATATATATTATATATATTATATATATGTATTATATATATTAGGCCTAGGATATGTGGAGTAACCGAGATATAGCGAGAACTCGAGCCGAGGGTATGTATGATATGTATGTCATACGAATACTTAAGATGAAGAGAGATGATGTGTATACATTGAGTCAGTAGTATAGTAAGACGCGTATATAAGTGATGAGGCGACGGCTAATCGGGGATAGTATATATACGATAACAGCCCGGATAGCACGAGACAAGTAGAGATGTACGTGACTCCAGAGTAATAGCTAAATACGTGCGATAAGAGCCGGTGAATGAATATAGTAACATGGTATCAAGGCTATAAACATATATACGGTTATACGCATGTACATATAAAGTAATGCACATATTTATATTAACATATATATAGCGGATAATGTACTATATATAGTATATATATAAGTATAGTGATAGTAGTATGTATAGGTCGATAGTGTATAAGCACACATATACATGCAGACGCAACACAGCGGGGAATGGTATGGGATGCTGCCGATAGGCGGCCAATAGATAGTATAGTATACCAAATATATATATATATATACTATATATATATATATTATTATTAATATATATATATAGATAGATAGATAGATAGATAGATAGAATACG